TTTTTGAAAACCATTATAAAACGCCTCAAGCTGAAATAGTTGCTCTTGGAAAGCGAAAAAACAGTGGAATTTCAATATAAACAGCAACAACATCAACAGCAACGAAAAATAAAAAATGCGGTGACTAAATACGACAATTAAAATAGCAACAGATGCAACAACAACAGAAGCAAGAGAAACTATAAAACAGCAACAATAACAGCAGTAGCAGCAGTAACAGTCAATAATGCCTTCGCGAAGAGGTTTAGTGGCACCTCAGAACACTTTTCTTGAAAAGTTGATTAGACTTTCCAACAGTACTCGTACGTTGTATTGTTCTTGATGCTATTAATGTTACTTCTGATGTTGTTGTTGTTGAAGTTATTGTGGTTGATGTTGTAGCTGATTTTTATACCGTTTGATGATTTTGTTTTGATTTTTCAATCGAAGGCTACGTTCACGTTATTGATGAATTTAAAATTGTTGTTTTGTCAAATCCAAAAAAGTTCATTGCAATTAACAACCAGTTAAACGCAGATAAAACGGTAATACTGCACATTTGTAGTTTGTACACAAATATACAAACATGAAAATAAATATTTTCGAGAGTTAATAAATAAAGCTACACACAAGTGTTCCATCCAATATTGCAATAAAGATATGATAATAAATGGTCAAAGATAAAAAAGAGAATAGTGAAAGATTACAAAGCAATAGAATAAAAAAGAAAAAAGAAAAGCGTTAACGATAGTGAATACAAAGCGATTGAATAAAATAACAACAAAAAAAATTTGAAAAAGATACTGAACACAAATTTATTAAATAAAATATAACAAAGGGAATTGTAAAAAATATTGTTTACAAAGCAAAGTAGGCAAAGATCATCCAAAGTGAAAGCTGGATAATCAAGTCAAAAACGATCTTGAGTAATAATTATTATCTACTATAGAGTAGATTAACTGATATATATATATATATATATATATATATATATATATATATATATATTTATTTATTTATTTATTTATTTATTTATATAGACTTTATTACCAAAGAAAATTTACGATTGACTTTGTTAAATTTTATTTTATTGGTATTTATATTGGTTTGGATTTAGTATCTTTTACAAATGAATATCGTACAAAGATCGCTTTCACTTTGGTTGATTTCGGCGGACTTTGCTTTGTAATCAGTATTTTCTACAATATAGTTTTTTTTAAAGATACTGAATACATTAACTTTCATTATCGAACATTATTAATTTAGCAAAGTCAATTTTAAATGTTCTTTGTTAGTGTAGACTATTAGTCTATATAAACGTGAAGCACTACCATTAACTTTCATTTCAAATATTATTTGCCAGCTACTGATAGACCTTCTATCCTTAACTAGCTTACACCGCAGTTTAGTAGTTATTAGAGAAAGTTGCATTATTACATTAAAGTTATTTTATCCTAAATTCGATTACACAACAGTTTAGTAGTTATTTTAGAAAGTTGCTTTATTAAATTTAAGTTATACAGAACATGAGATCATCGAACAACAAGCCAAATAAAATGGCCACCTTTCAGGAGGCAAATAATGGCCGCGCAAATTTCCTGAAACAAGTGAACAATAGGAAGATGAATAGAATTGGCTTTAAATTTTTGCCACCAGTGCCAAAATTAACAACATTTAATGGCAATTCTCTAACTACATCATCGTCCACTTCATCGTCTGCTGTTAACAAAAACAAAACGGTCGGAGTTACCGGACCTATAAGTTTGGCGGAGCCGAAACCAGAGGAAAAAAAATTAACTGAACAGCTTGATGTTTATTTGCATAACAATGATATGTATGAAACTCCTGAAGAAATAACTAAAAGAATAGATGTTCTTAGAAAAATAGTTCAGCTAGTAGATATTTGGAATAAAGACATGGCCGTTGCAAAGAACATACCGGAGACATCAAACTCAGGAGCTAAGGTTTACACATTTGGATCTTACAGATTAGGTATTAATGCAAAAGGGGCAGACATTGACCTGTTGTGTGTAGTTCCTCGGCATATTGAAAGAAATGATTTTTTCAGTTTGTTCACCGATATTTTGAGAGGAGAACCAAGCATCAAAAACATGAAAAGCATTGAGGATGCATTTGTGCCCGTCATTAAGATGAACTTTGATGGTATCGAGATTGACATGTTGTTCGCGAAATTAGCACTAACAGAGGTTAAAGATACCCAGGACTTGAGGGACGACAGCATTCTGAAAAATCTGGATCAAAAATGTGTCAGAAGTCTAAATGGTTGTAGAGTTACTGATGAGATTCTGAATCTAGTTTCGAACCTTGAAAATTTTAGAATGACCCTGAGAGCAATCAAGTTATGGGCCAAAAGAAGAGGAATATATTCTAATGTTCTTGGATTTTTGGGTGGTGTGTCGTGGGCAATGTTGGTGGCCCGCGTCTGCCAACTCTATCCAAATGCAACCCCATCTGTGCTAGTGCAAAAATTTTTTTTTATCTTCTCTCAGTGGAAATGGCCACAACCAGTTTTGCTAAAACAGCTGAGTGAGTGTAATATGACTGAAACATTTAGTTCCTGGGATCCGAGGAAAAATATCACAGATCGTAGCCACCTAATGCCAATCATAACCCCCTGTTTCCCAAATCAGAATTCTACGTACAATGTTAATACATCAACTAGAGATATAATGATGGATGAATTCAAGAGGGGTTTTAATATATCTACAGAGATTTTAAACAAAAAAGACAATTGGGAGAATCTCTTTAAGCCCTATGACTTCTTCCACAAGTACAGACATTTTATTGTTGTAAGGGCCAGATCTTCCACTGCAGCCAATCATCTGGAATGGTACGGACTAGTCGAGTCAAAACTACGTCTTATGGTGCAGAAACTGGAGGCTAATTCAGTAATAAAGTTGGCACATATCAACACCAAATCATACCCACCAAGGAGTGATTCTACCGAACAACACTGCACTCAGTGGTTTATTGGTCTGACCTTCTCCCAAACTTCCGTGAAAGTCAACCTTACCTACGAAGTACTTTACCTTCACGAACAAATAAGTGTAGCTCTCGGGCCTAACCTAAAGGAGGGAATGAACATGGACGTAAAGTACCTTAGAAAAAAAGAACTAAAAAATTATTTACCAGACGATGTTCTACATACAGAATGTATGGGAATCAAGAGAAAACATACGGATGATATGAGCTTATCCGATTCTTCATCCCAATCGACATCAACCACCCCCATCGTGACTATCGCCGGAGCACAACAATTTCTCTAGCGAGTTTCTTCTACCTCCAAGCAACAACAACATCAACGCATCCAGTATCGGTCTACAGATTACGAACAAGTAGAGGCATATGATGGGTTCTAAAATACTCTAACTTTATCGCAACAACCTTTATATATATATATATAATTTTTAATAATAAATATATTTATATATATATCTATATATAATTTTTAAACTTAAATATATATATATTATATATATATATATATATATATTAATATTAATTTTTTATTTTTATAGTTGTCTTCGTGCTCGTAAATATAAGTTGTGTGTTTATTTTAAAATAAAATTAGGTGTTGATGAAAAAAAATATAATTTGTGTACTTATTAAGTTTTAAAATAATCTGATAATGAAAAATGTATCTACTTGTACGTTCTTGCACGCACGCACACACCTACACGTACACCAAACAAGTTCGATCAATGATATTTCAATGAAAACATACAAAAAGATAGAAAACAACACTTTTAAACAAATTACAAAACACTCTCTTTTTAGCATAATGCCTGTATTATTTTTCTGATTCATGCCAGCAATGAAAACTCCCAGGTTGCATTCAAGTCTTAGTGCTCTTATTGTCCAATGTCTCAATAAATAGTTTCAGAAACAAAATAGAATTAATAAGAAGAGATGATTGGAGTTGAGTAGATGGATGGATGGATGGAGCTGTGGTAATCTAAAAATACTGAACATCGGAATTCAACGTCAACATCAGTAGCAGTAGTAGCAGCAGAAAAATTGATAACGGTAGTAATAGCAGTAGTAGTAATAGTTTTTTTTAGCAGTAGTAACTTATAGCAATGCCCGTAGCAGCAGTAACAATTGTAACAGTATTATTGGTAGCAGTAGCAGTACAAAAGTATAAGTATCAGCAGCAGTTGTAGTAATATTAGAATTAGTAGTAGTAGCAGCAGTAGTAGTAGTAGTAGTAGTAGTAGAAGTAGTAGTAGTAGTAGCAGCAACCGCGTTAATAATAGCAGTAAAGGAAGTAGAAGAGGTATTGTCGGAGGACTCGTAAATTAAATTTGTCATGCATCCATCTACTCCACTCTTCTTCAATACACGTCGTTTTCTGCTGCACTTATGCTACCTACCTAACTCTACCTACCTACCTACCTACCTACCTACCTACCTACCTACCTACCTACCTACCTACCTACCTACCTACCTACCTACCTACCTACCTACCTACCTACCTACCTACCTACCTACCTACCTACCTACCTACCTACCTACCTACCTACCTACCTACCTACCTACCTACCTACCTACCTACCTACCTACCTACCTACCTACCTACCTACCTACCTACCTACCTACCTACCTACCTACCTACCTACCTACCTACCTACCTACATACCTACCTACCTACCTACCTACCTACCTACCTACCTACCTACCTACTTATAAACCTATCTACCTAAAATTTTCAGTTTCCAATTAAAAATATCTCTAGGTTTATTCAAACTAAAACAAGTTAAGTAATAAAAATTATATTACTTATAAAAATCAATCAAACATTTTTAAAATATTTATTTTCGATCAAAATTGAAGATAATAATTTTTTTAAACATACATACCTGTTCGTAGAATATTTACAGAATTCATTCAATGAATGAAATACAAAGTTAAACGACCTTTGAGAGCTTAGAGGACAATGAAACAAATACCTTCCTTCGTAACTTTCCACCCACATCTTTCATTTGCAGATGAAATACTACTGCTAAGAATATCATTACAATGATTATTTTTTTAGTTATTTTATTTTACGAGATATATAATATGTTGCCCTATTGTAAATGGAAAGATAGGATGCTAAAGGGATAGATAGATGGATGAATGGATAGATGGAAGAATAGATGGATGGATATATGGATGGATAGATAGATGGATGGATAGATAGATGGATGGATAGATGGATGGATGGATAGACGAATGAATTTTTCGCAAAACGCTTTTCAATATTACTCATTTTATTTATACATACGCTATCACGCACACGCACGCACGCACGCACACAAACAAACGAACACAAACTAAAAACAAGAATTTAAAAACAGAGAGTTTCTAATAATGGGATTAAATTGAATGACAGATGAGACAAAAAATGAAGATAAAAAGAATAAAAATTACTTTGAACGACAGAAAGGTAAAAGTTAAAAAAGAATACAAAAATTTTCGACGGGGCATCTATTAATAATTCATGTACAAGTACAGTGCTTGCTAGTAAGTGTCACGGTCACACATAAATGAAATGACGTTGAAAAAACAACGCATTGAGGGATTATTTTTGTAAAACCACCTGGCATATATACATGTGTACATACAAAAATATTTATGTGTAATGATGCGGCGTACCTTTATTCAAATAATGTCTTTTATTTAGATAATCATCTTCTCCAATATTCTCATCAACATCGTTTTTGTACTTTTTGTTAATTTTTAAAAACATTATTTAGGATGGTTGTTGTTGTTGTTGTTGTCATCACCGTTTAAAATTATCATCATTTATTTCATCATCTTTATCATCATCACCGTCATCATCACGTTTGTCATCATCTTTAAAATGTAGTATAATCACTACCATCATCGTCATCATTGTATTAAACGGTTTCATATAACATATTTGAAAAAAGATTCCAAAAGCGTTCATTAACAGTGATTAAAATAGTTTATGATAAGAGAGCGTTTCATTGATCAAAGGGATAAGTCTTTAACAGTTTTTTGAAATTCTTGACGGAGAGACCAGGCTGTCGCAAGTAGCCCGGTGGACTGTTGCATACTTCTGGGCCAACAACAGAAAATTTTTTTGGACCAATCTTTAAACGTGATGTTGGATGGTCCACCAAATTTTTATCGTCACGATGTAAGTTGTATGGTTTTGAAAACGTCGCTTTAGAAGTGCATCTATTAGCTAAATACTTTGGATCGAGTCCATTTATGACCTTTAAACATCAGAAGCAAATTTTGAATGTAACTCTTTTATCAATCTTCAACCAATGTAGTTCTCAAAATACTAGATTTTTTCGAAATTATCTTCATCATCGTAACTCTCGCTAACATCATTTAGGTACATTTCAAAATTAATAAAAAAAACACAAATTTAAATACAAAAAATTGATTGAGAGGAAAAACAAATAAAAGAACAACGACAAAAAATGAATAAAAAAACTAAATTAGAAAAAGTTTTTGAATGAAATTGAATGCACTAAAATTGTATTTGGATTCTTTGATTCATGTTTACATGTTCACACGTGACCTCACAAAATTTTTCAGAATTTTTATTTTTTTCTTCGTTTGTTACTAACTTTTTATTGTAAATTTAGTTTTTTGTTCTCGTATTTTTAATTTTTTTTTCAGAATTTTCAGTTTTAGTTAGCTAGTAATTTTTATCGAAACACACACATTTCATGTTTTTTAATTTAATGATTATCAGCTTTTCTCACCATCTTAATATCCTTTTACTTCCATTGTTATTTTTTTCCGATTTTCTTTATTTATTTTAATTTTAATCGTAAAGAAACACTGAGATAAATAAATATTTCAATTTTAATCACAAAGAAACATTAAGATAAATAAACATTTTTCTTAAAAATTTACGATAAGATGAAGCGGAAACTTACAATACCCACATATATATATACTATATATATATACATATACAATATATATATATATATATATATATATATATATATATATATATATCTATATATATATTATAGTGCAATATAATCAATACAAGCAAACATGTTTACACGCACTTGCTCACGTACGTACATACGCAGAAGAAAAGAACGAAAGAACCTACGCAAATGTAGAGTTACATGTTTAAATGTCTGAAGATACAAACCTAGAGATATATTCTATCTTGTATAGACTTATTACCATGAACAAACAAGTCCACAAACAAACATGTATTCACACACACACACACACACACACACACACACACACACACACACACACACACACACACACACACACACACACACACACACACACACACACACACACACATACACACACATACAAGCAGGTACGCATAAGCACGTACGAATACGGACAAATTGTAAACACGCAACACGCACATTAGAATTCGTTCAATTTAATCATGTTGAATTTTTTATATTTGTTATTAGCTTTTCAGTTTTTGATATTTTTTTTCTAAAACTTTCGAAATTATTAGCTACAGTGAATGTTGGTATTAGTTTGGTAGTGAATGCGTAGGTTTCAGGTGAGATTAGTAGTTAATATAAACATACACCCGAAAAATTTAACACGAAATTTTGAAAACAACTGTTATTATTACCGCACCGTTTTGTATTCATACTTTTATATCAATTTTCATCCTGTCTACTGAAAAAATTACTCTCATTATCGACATCTTTTTCATCGTCATCATTATTTGTCATTTTGTCATCATTCACATTTCACTCATCACATTCCTAAAACTCTTCCCCACCAAAATCATTATTCTTGTAGTCAGTTTTTCTTCTTTTCAAATTATAAATATAAATGCTCGTCATTGGAGATGACGTATTGAAAAAATTGCTAAAAATTTAAAGACAAAAATTTGAACCAGCAAACAAATAGTGATGAAAAAATGCTGATTTCTTTTTGTGCCAAAAGGGGAAAAACAATTATATAGAGTTAGGATACAATTTTCAGATAATTGCAAATAACGTTAGTTATTTGCAATTTAATAATTTTTGTTGAAAAATATTTAGTTTCAACCCAATTATGAATAATTAAATTTTTTTAAAAGTTAAAAGTTAAATAATAAAAGTTATTATTATTTTCATCATAAATATTTTCACCTTCCACTCACACACGCTTACACACACACCACACACAAACACAAACACAAACACACACACACACACACACACACACACACACACACACACACACACACACACACACACACACACACACACACACACACACACACACACACTGACAGACAGCAGCTTCATCCTAATAAACGCTCGTGTGGTCGACTACCCAATCGTGTACTGCAACGATGGCTTTGTACAAATGAGCGGCTTCTACAGGGTCGAAGTCATGCAGAAGCCTGGTTCCGTGCCCTTCATGTGCGGGGAACTGACCAATAGGGAGGCCGTCAAGAGAATGGAGCACGCGTTCGAAGTGCAGGAAAGTGAGCAACTTGAGATTCTGCTCTATAAGAAGAATAGTTAGTTAGCTGTTTTTATGTGTTTGCTTGTTTGTTTGGTTTGTGGCTCGTTGGTTGTGTTTTGTTTTCTGTAACTGATGTTGCTTCAATTCATCAAAGACATCAAATAATGGTTTCAAATCATTCAAAGAAATTTTTCCATTGCGACAATTAATATTGCGTCGTTTTTTCTGTTATAATTTCATTGTTTATTTCACCGTGTTTAATTAAATGTACACAAATACTGTATACTTAGCTATTACTATTAGATGAAACTATTTCATTTACGGAGACTTGTTTATTCCAGTATGCGTTTATTGGAGTGTCAGAGGGGTGGGCGTGAACCTCACGTGCGGAGTTCAAAATATCTACACATTATTTAGAGTTACACACTGCATTCCGTAATCAACATGTATAACATGTATTTAACGTACGCGCTGTCGGTGGGCTCTATTTTTACCAGGCTATCCTTCATTTCAGTTCAAAACGGTTATAATTTTCAAATAATTTTTAACATTCAAATATTTATTTTAAAAAATTTGTTGAGTTTTCTGATTTAAATAAAAAAAGTGGATTGATATAAATATAAATCAACTCGTAGAGAACATGCACCAGGGCACATGTGATTTATATTTTCAACACGTAACCACACTCTAATGATTTTCAAATTGAACCATGATGCTAAATCTGGATCAGCCTTTGATGCAACTACTACTACTACTACTACTACTACTACTACTACTACTACTACTACTACTACTACTACCACTACCACTACCACTACCACTACCACTATTACTACTACTACTACTACTACTACTACTACTACTACTACTACTACTACTACTCTACTACTACTACTACTACTACTACTACTACTACTACTACTACTACTACTACTACTACTACTACTACTACTACTACTACTACTACTATTGCTGCTGTCATTGTATTGATGTTTTTAAAAGTTGTCTTTTTGTTGTAAAATGTTGTTACTGTTTGCTGTTGAGGTTGTATAATGTTATGATGATATTTTTTGTTGTTGGGTTGGTGTTGTCGAAATTTCGTAGTTGTTTCTGAATTGTTTGGCGGTTTTGGTTTAATTTGATGTTTTTTTTTGTTCATCGAACTTATTGCTCTTCAGGGATTTAAGTAACTCTCTAGTGATTCAGTTAACTTTTGATGTTGCCAGTGTTTTTGTGGGTTTTAAAACCTTTCAAATTATTTTGTTCTGGTCCTTACACTTTGATATCGTGCCTGTGTTTTTTTTAACGGTGGTTCCAATGCTTCTAATGTTAGTGCAAAGTTTACATTCATGCATGTAAATTGTTACAATAAATTCTTTGAATGAATGAAGCAAGTCTGCCTGCTGTAATTATTCTCATTTAAATTTATTATCAAATAATAATTTAAATTATTTGAAATTAAAATTATTTGAATGATTCGTTATTGAAGAATATTTTTTATCATTCAACGCGATCCGTGCAATCGTTACCGACAAGCTGTGGAAACGGCATATGTGTTAAATAAAGAACTGAATTATTGATTATATATCATTATCGTTTTAATTGCTATCATCATCATCATCGTCGTCATCATCATCATCATTATCCTCATCATCATCACTAATTTCTCTTTATAATATTAACTAATAATGATAATAATAATATTATTATTTTCGTCATCAGTGTTAAACATTTTCACCAAAAAATAAATTAATATCGTCATCATCAACATAATCGCGATCACCACCATCGTCACCATCATCATCATCATCACATCAGCTCTGCTACAATCATCGTCGTCGTCGTCATCATCTTCATCATTTTGGGAACGGTCATCATCGTTCAACTGAACTCATCACTCATGATGACATCATAGCAGCCCCAGAAGATGATTTATCAGCTATTTTTAGCAGATTCCAATGTTTCCATGGTTACGACGCCCAGTCACGTGATGAAACAATGAATGAGTGAGTGAGCAAGTGATTAGATGAATGAAAAAAAATAAGGATTTGACAGGTCTGTTTATCAGATGATATGCGAATAAAGGAATGAATAAATGAACGAATGAATAAAATAATGGAGTGAATAAGTGTAGTTAGAGGAAAAGAAGTAATTGTATACGAATGAATGAATGAATGATTAAGTGAGTGAGTAGGTGAGTGAGTGAATGAGTGAGTGAGTAAATGAGTGAGTGAGTGAGTGAATGAGTGAATAAGTGAATTATTGAATGGAAAAGAAAGGAGCGCAAATAGTTAACAAATGAAATGAGGCGGCAAACAAAATAATCTCATAAAGAAAAAATATTAATTCCCTTTCCGCTTCATTTTTTTCATAATCATATTAGAACTTTATTTCATGTATAAATTAATTAACCCTGACGCTGTTAATGTTGTTGGTGATGTTGTTGTTGATCTGTTTTCGACGTTGTTGTTGGTGATGTCATCATCATTGTTGATGCTGGTTGTATTATTAGTGTTGTTAATATTTTTAGTTGATAGCATTTTATAGTTATGTGGATGTTGTTGTATTCGTGTCAAATAGGATGTTGTTAAAAGTGTGTAAACATAAATAACTGATAGCCTAATGGTAAAGCGCTTGCTCTAAGAAGTTCTAGTAACCGGGTTCGAGTACAAAAAGAACTCCATCTGTCATAAACCACACACGTGTATGCTTTCGTACGTTTATTCGTGCTTGGGTGGTGCGTGTGTAGTAAGTTGGATACGGAAAATCGCCATTGAAGCAACGCATTGGGCGGCTTATGAACTACAATATTTTTCTGCCAGCGTTTGAAGTAGGATTGGATGTTGTTGCTGATGTATGCGCCGTGCAATTGTTTCAGAGGAACGTATAAATAAACTGCTCATGCTGAATTGAAGACTTGAACGATTACAATATTTTAAAATATGGATTGAAAAGTATTCCATTTCTTTTTTAGTTTGCCAATAATTAAAATGTGTTGTTTCTAAATAATTTCAGCGCTAAAATTTTCAATGACTTCACTTCTTAATAAGACATCTTCTTCATATAATAAAAAACGAAATAACGAATCACAAGCGAGTCAACATTCAATCGTATATACTACAAAACTAAACACATGCACAAAAACAAACTCATGTTTAAATCACACAGTCATACGCATAGACAAGCGCACAGACACGCGCACACATACTTGCACAGTTACACAGACAGACACAAATACAGACACAAACATACATTAGTTTCCATTAAATCTATCAAAGTTATTAATTAATAAACACACGAATCAATGCTCCATACGTCAAAAGTTATTATTGATCGATGGACACAGAATAGGTAGGTAACATAGATAAAAGAACATTAGATGTCTGTTTTGAAAGATGTCTGTGCTATTATTATTGCGTTTTTGCTTGCTGTTTCAATTGTTTTGGTTTTTTGTTTACTATTTTGTTGATGTTGTTGTTTAGATTTGGAACGGTGAATTACAATGAGGAATTTGTTAGTTATGTGAAGTCGACATGGAAATGTTATTTCGTTGTTGTTGTTGATGTTGTGTTGTTGTTCGTGAGTGCGTGCGTGTGTGGGAGAGTTCTTTTTTGTGTTTGTTTTATATACTGTGTCAAAATGTTGTCGTTGTCGTTGCTGTTGTTGAGCTTATTTTACGCTAATGTGTAAGTGATAATTAATTGATAAATAACAATTAATTAATTTCTCGGAGATATTTATTCAATCATTATACATTAAATAAATGAATAAATGAATAAATCTATAAATAAATTTATATACATAACTAAATATAATGTCACTTATAGAAACCTTTTATTAAAGTTACCGAAAAAATTTCCTCTACTCCAATAAAACGAAAGATTAAATAAAATGGATCACTTCATGAAAGAATAAAACAACAAAAACATACAGAAAAAAATACAAAGACATACAAAACGACAACAAAAACAGATTCACATACAAAACATGCCATAAAATACAAAGCCGTACAAAAACATACAAAAAACAAATTCACCAAATGACGGACGGAAAACACAGACGGGCTAGTGATAATAGAAGATAAAATTTAAACAAAAATGGTTTGAGTTTGACAAGACGATAGATCTCCAGAGGAATGGGATGAAGATGGAGAAGAAGGTAGAAGGAATGATGGAGATGATGAAGATGATGAATATGATAAAGATGATGAGTGTGATGAAGATGATGGGGATGATGAGGATGATAAAGATGATGCAGATGACGAGGATGATGAGTATGATGAAAATAAAAAGGAAAACATAAAAATGATTAAGATAAGATGAAGTAGTTGGTAAATATGATGAAATGAATGTAGTATAGTGGTTGACGAATATGGACAGAAAATTTATAAAAATGGTGGTTGTGAGAGAGACGAAGCAAATGAGAGAAATGAAAATGAGTAAAAAAGATGCAAAGAATGAGAAAAGAATAGTAATGGTGAAAAGGAGTTGGAAAATGATAAAAATTATGAGGAGGTTGAAGATAATGAGAAAGAGGAAGTAAAATTTAATTCCATGCTCTGCTCCAGAACATACATCGTCCTACGGAAATGTAGAAATGCAGATGAATGTGTGTGTGTTGTGTGTATGTGTGTGTGTGCTACACGTGCGTGTGTGTTTGTGTGTAGATAGATGGGAAATGTAAATTGATGTGTGCCTTTGTAAAGATTAGAGAATGGATGTCTGCTTGTATAGATATGTGTAGGTGGTCAGATTTATGTTGGCATATGCTTGATAATTTATTAATTTATTTCCATTTCTTAATATCTACTCTCGCTTTTAATGATATAAACATGAACGAAATTTGAACTTTACCGTCTATCGCTATGACGTCACCGACCTATTTTTGTTTTGTGTGTGTGTAATCGTGCGTATATGTGTTTATGTTTATATGTGTGTATATGCATACGTGTGCATGTGTATATGTTTGTGAGAATAGTGTTTTCTTAAATTTCATTTTGTAATCTTTAGTTGCTTGGTCATGCACCGCAATCTGGTGATGCGTGTGTGCGTGCGT